GAATGAAAGAAAATAGAGTAGACACAGCAGCAAATTTTTTTCAATTTTTTGATTATGACCCTGAGTAGGCATTATGTTTTGCATCAAAACCCTGTGCAGTCATATGTACTTTGAAAAGGGTATCCAGAAACAAAATTTACCCTTACTGCTGCACTGTGTGTGAATATTTTCTATTCTATTCTGTTTTCTTCTAATGTAGTTTAGCATATTTCATTTAAAAAATTGTTTTATAACAATAATGGTGTACTGTATCAATTTTATGACTAATGGCTAGACAGTTTGAAAACCACTAAGAAAAAATTGGATATGATGGGGTGATCACTGAGCTCAAGTGGATTTGAAGATCTAAAGGAGCTTGAAGATGAGGAAAAGAGAAGATACAGCTGCTAGGGTGGTATGTCAGAGGACGTGGGAGGAGGTAGTGTCAGGGGTGTTGGGGAAACGTGAGACTTGAGAGGGCAGTTTGGGATGGGAGCATGTGGAAATCGAAGAGAAAGAAGTCCAGGGCACTGCACCTGGGCAGCCTTAGTTTTTTTCAGCAAGAAGGAGGTGACAGTGTCTGGAGAACTAGGAGGTGGGGGCTCAACTGGGGAATAGGGGAAGGTGGTTGCTGGGACGAACTGCTGCAGGGATCCTGATCAAGATGAATGGCAGAGTGTGGGACAGCAGGGAAAATAGAGAGTTTTGGGGTTATCTGTTCCTCGGTCCTGATTTTATGATATTTGCACAGCCTAGTAGCTAGAGAGAGGAGGGGTGTGAGAATAGACAGGTTCTCAATTCTGTGTGATCATTGTTTTTCATACTATTGGTTACTGTGTTTATTTCAGTCTCAGATCTCTTCTCTCCCAACACTCTCCTCCTGAGGGCCTTTGCTCATTTAACTCACATGCATAGGCTGGACTTGGTTAACCAGTAGATGAGTCCCAGATAATCCAAATAATGTTAAAACAAAGTTAGTCCAACATTATATATAAAATAGATTTTATAGAAAATGTTTAGCTTAGTTGAAGTGTTATCCAATCTTTAGGAACACAAAATCCATTATATGGGCTGCTGTTTGTCTCCTTTTTGCTAATTCGAGAAACAATACTCTGTACTTTTGGAGTGTCTAACTAAATAAGTTCTTCCCTTTCCAAATAGGCAGAGTCTAGGACAGTAGTTTCTCTGCATGTTTGAGGTTGAGACTTTTGAGAGTCTGATGACAAGATGTAGCAATTGCCAACAGTTTTAGGGTATTTCCCTGTCTCCCTAATTGTAGTCTATCTGTGGACTGCAGTTAGGAACCTCTGGACTAAGTAACTATGTAGCATATTGTCGGCGATGTCCTCTAAGCACTGCTGTGACTTTCTTTCTCTCTGTTTTGCCACAACCTAGTGCCCTTAATGCTCTTTTGGGACATTTGCAGGGTATGAGTTTTTAAAAAGAACAACAGTTCATCCGTTGCCTTTGCTTTCTGACTCTGCGCTTTACTTCCAGACTCTGAGTCTTGCCAGCCCCAGTGTCACTACTTTTTCTTAAAGCCTGTGTTGTCTTTGGCATCTTGTAGCCCTGTAAGTACCGTAAATTCAGAAGATACTAGGTCATACCAGGGATGACCAGAAGGCATTGAGATGTTAGAGTGGAAAAGCTTAGGAAGCAATCTGATATGTGCCGTGCACACTGATGCCCTGTTCCGCCTTGACTCTGCTCTGCTATGTGATATTTGGCATTTTCATAGTAACAGCCGTATCTTCCCAGCAGGCTGATGTGGAGATTGGAATAATGTCTTTCAAAGCCACCTAATTTTTGATGCTCTGTTGTTTGTAGTATAATTCTCCTGTGGCATTTGTATTTTCTATTTCTTACATCAGGTACTGAGACCAACATTGACAGTGAGTCCACATCAACACAAGGAGTTTCTGAAGAAAGAGACATGATGATGTCATGTGGGCTGAAGAAGAATGTCCCTAAGAGAACTGACTTCCCAGAAACACGTGAAGTGGAGAAGCACCAGAAAATCCCCACGGTGAAAAATATTCAAGGAAGGATACCAGGAATCCACTATGCAATGAAACCTTTCAGATGTGAGGAATGTGGAAAATGCTTCAGCTACTTTTCTCACTATGTTAGACACCAGAGAATGCACACTGGGGAGAAACCCTTTGAATGTAATGAGTGTGGAAAAGCCTTTAGTGGCCATTCTTCATTAATTCGGCACCAGAGGATCCACACTGGAGAGAAACCCTATCAGTGTGAGGAGTGTGGGAGAGCCTTTAATGACAATGCAAATCTGATCAGGCATCGGAGAATCCACAGTAGGGACAGACCCTATCACTGTGCAGAGTGTGGAAACAGTTTCACCAGTAGTTCTGAGTTTGTTATACATCAGAGAATCCACAGTGGGAACAGACCCTATCACTGTGCAGAATGTGGAAACAG